GAAAGAAACACACCATATCTCACCACATCTCCTATATAGGGAGATATGTGAGATCTGTCAGCTCCACACATCACTGGAGTTTGCAGCTGATGGTAAAGTTGTTCCCCAAAGCCATAACATGTTGAGAGTGCCATGGACCTGGTTTCCCACACAGTCCCTCCCAATGGAAAGGACATAAGGAGGCATTGATCAAAAATGACCACCATGGTTTCATTCTATCTTTGTTAGGGAACAACTGAGGATTAGATGGCTCAAGCTCATTTAATATACAAGAGAAATCATATTGGCAAGCTGGGAGAAGCACTCACAAAGTCAGCCTTTTCTCTGTACCCAAAATTGATTGAGGTGATCAATCATTTGAAACAGAGTTTAGGGGCTTCGTTAGATCCAAGGTTGCCTTACATCTGCTATTCCTGGGATGGTTCCCAGGCTAGTAGCTGAAGGTATGGCTGCACATAAAACCATGTACATCTCCATGAAATTCCCAGTCTTTAGTAGAACTTCAGAAGCCCTAAAGGGTTTGGAACCTGTTGAAGCACTTTTTGTATGTGATGCATCTGTTTTCAAGTCCAACAAGATCCTTGGCTCCTATGCAGTCAGTGGAAGAGAGAACAACAAGGAAACATGCCACAAAACAAAAAGTGAATCTGGAGGGATGAAGAGGAAAAGCAGAAACTAAAACTTTACAGTTTTGTCTGAGGTAGACTCAGTCAGTCTCTCTCTCTCTCTCTCTCTCTCTCTCATAGTAGCCTGCACTCCAAACTACTTTGCCAACTGCATATGAATGCTTTGTGCATTGCATCTGCAGAGGATGATTGGCCACTAAATCCTCAGAGCCTGAAGGATCCACAGAAATGTGTGTATCTGGGAAAGAGGACAGTTTCATCCTCCTGTCCCCTGTGCTTGGAAGGGGTTGTGTGATATCTAACATTTTAAATGATTGTAGGAATGGCAAAAGGACCCAAACATGAATTCTGCTTCATAAGTTATATGCTCATAGAGTCTGATCATCAGTGGCAACACATAGGGAGTGTACGGGGGTGCACATGAACCCACTGATAGCGCCAGTGCACCCCCCTGACTGGCCACGCTTGCCACTTAGGTGATGGGCGGGGGGGCAGGCAGGAGTGCCAGTGCCTCCCTGCAAGTGCCAGTTGATCATTGCAATTGCTGCAGCCACTTCCAGGAGTGACTGCAGCTGCTTCTGGGGGGGGCCGGCCAGCGCTCCCACTTGCCCCCCCTGCCACAGCCACTCCCAGAAGTGGCTGCAGCAATCATAGTGATCAGCCATTGCAGGACTGGTCACAGGGGGGGCATGTGCCCCCCCTGACTAAGGCAGCACCAGTCATCCATGCTGATCATAATCTTAACCTATTACTCAACTGTGTCCAATTCTACTCCAGACTTGCAACGAATGTGTTTGCCGAACTCTGTATGCCTTCTGTTGTCTCTAGTGCTTCTTCAGTTCTGGCTTCTTGTGGTAGTACCAAGTCTTGGTTCTGACTGTGGCAAAGTGAACGCATTGAAAAAATGTGTCATTGAGCCTAACTATGAAAAAATGTTCAATATTGCTAAAGTTTGGCTGGGGTAACAGTGTGATTCAAAGATGGTGGTAATCAGTGAGGCAGGAGTAAGTGGACTCACCGCTACCAAACTACTGAAAGATGCTAGTTGCCAGGGCGGGACAGTCCTGAAATGTGAACATCAAGTCCCGGTCCCAGGCTGAATGACTTTGGGACAACATTTGTCCTACATTATCAGTATCAAACAGGGAGCCAGGTTTTCCATTCACCGCATAAAAATGCAGGAATCAAGATCCTCTTGCACCTGACAGAACTGCATCCTGCACAGCGCTGCTTGGGGCTGGGGGGAGCAGGATGTAGAGGGAGCTATGTGCACACATGCATGTGGCTGGGAATATAGCCAGGCAATGGTGGACAGCAGCTCCTTGCAGGTAAGTCTAGGGAGTGGTGAAGGGAGGAGGATAGGGTGCAAATTGAGGCTCCCATGGTGAGGGAAGGTGTAGGCCAGTGGCTGTAGGCGCTGCCCAATGTGGTGGTGCATGGGGCCCAGGGCCTGGGC